ACTAAATAAGGGTTATAACATCTGTTCTTTTATCCTCCCCCTCCTACCTCATAACACAGAAGGGAGACTGAGAGAAAACACTTTTATTTTCTCTTTTCCCCTATTTGTGCTCTTTCACAGAACCACAAGGAGATTGAGACTGGCTGCAAGAGAATGCAATATCTGGGAACAGGAAATCTACTGGATCTGATTTTCACCTCCGCTAGCCTGAAACGGGAATCCAGGAATCCAGATGGAAGTGATCAGATATCTCTGGTACTAAGGAAGAACAGGAAGATACTGGCATCACTGGAACATATTTCTAGAGTTTATCTCCTTACAACTAATTAACTAAAGTAAGAATTAGATATCCTTATGATCACTATTTTCAGCACACAATTTATAATATGACAAATATCTAGAAAACTGAAACTTTGACTCCTAAAGAACACTGAAGACAGCAACATGCCTGTACATATGGTAATTTCCTGTAGCACCTGTGCACAGAGGCATTCCTTTGGTTCATAGATGAGCAGTGGACTTTGTCTTCTTTCAGGATATCTCCAGATGCTATTATGGGATGATGACTCCAGCTTGCCCTGCTCAAGTTTCCCGGGGGAAGATCCACAACACAGTGAGATAAACAAACAACTCTGAAGTATGATCAACAGAGGGACAGTGTGTGCTCCAAAGGCTCGTGTGCCTCAGTGAAACAGTTTCCAAATTCAGATTTATCAGGGGAAGCAGTCTTACAGGATCCAGATGCGGGATATTCTTGGACTGTGTACAACTCTGCTACTGTGCCTTGGGAAAGGCAGAGACATCTCATGCTCACATGTGTATTTAACATGAATTTAATTTGTATTGTTCTGTAGAAAGCATTTCATTTCCATTTAATGACAAGATGACACACCAGTTTTCCTCTATTTCTGAACAACGTTTTTCAAGTGTACTGAATATTCACAGATTTGAAAAACAGAATCCAAACATCTATTTAGCACATTGTATAATTTTAAGTCTCTCGAGATAAAATTTTATCAGTGAATTGTTACTACCATTCTGGTGTATGTGAAGACCCTGAAGTATGAAGTTTTATAGCACTATTTTTGATTTGTTCTTAATGAAATAATTAAAATAATGGAATTACTGCAATTTCAGATAAAGAAAGGACTTTTTATATGAGCTTGCCTTTTCAACCAGATGATCCTATTTCACTACAGTTTCTCTGTGAACTCGTAGCATGTATTTAATGCATTAACTTCACTGCTATAATAGACTGATATGACTTATAAACCCAGGAGAAGTTCTGAAGTTGACATCATAAGGAAAATCCACCTCTAGACAAGATTTGGAATGTAAGTGTCATTATGCAAAGTTTCACAAAATTATTTTTATGTATATTACTTGAAAGTCAAATGTCACGATCCCATTGTAGTTTTGTATTAAAAATTCCACAAAAACTGTACAAAAACATGTGCTGCATAGTTCATAAAAAATCTTGTGCACAGATAAAGGATTTCTTAGATTACAGCTACAAATTGGGGCTTTAAAAATATTTTTCTATTACTTAAGCCTAATTTCCACTTTCACCACTCTGAAACGAAGTTCAAGTATTTTTGATCAAAACTGATTTTAAGCCATGCTTGTATGAACAGACCCAGGATTCAATATCATTTTCACAGACTGTGCCTGAGGAAAACTTTCAACACCTTTGTGACGCTATTCAGAATTCACTTCAGTCCAGTACATGGTAGCCAAGAAAGTTTGAATAATGAAAAAAGGGAATTTGTGAATTTAAAACTTCATATAAGTTGTGATCATTTATTGTGTATGCTTGTGCCTTAGAATTCAACCCATATTTCTTACATCACAATTTTTAATTGTGTTATGTGTTAGAGATAGTTAGCTATTAGAGAAAGGAATTTGAGTGAGGATCAAGCTAGTAGTGCAGCATCAGTATGAAGCCAGTGTCAAGAAAACCATTCTAACTACACACAAGATTAAAAAAAAAAGGCAGAATCTGGCCTACAGATCTTCAGTCAGGAAAAAAAAGAACCAAAACCAAAACAACAGAACAGAGCAAAAGGCAACATTAGAATCTTTGATTTTGTTGTTTCAGTTAACCATTTACTCTGATGGTGTTTGAACTGTAACACATTGAGTTGAATGAAGTTTCCAGATGCCTTTTTCCCCCCCTCGATTCAGAGATTTCGATGCCAAAACTGAGGGTTATGGTCCATTTAGCTTGAGTATTTCGATTTAGTTGTAATGTTTTTCTTCTCTGTTTTTTGCTCACAAAAGATCCAACACTCAGCTGGACAAGATACAGCACAGGCTGTGCCATCCTAAAAAATACAATGAAGGATTAGAAAACACAACACAGAAGCAAAGGAAAAAGAAAAATCAAATTCACTGAAAGGAATGTCAAGTTCTGAGTCAATTTCACAAAGATTTCACATATAGGAAGCTGGATTTAAAAAAAAAAAAATCTGTAATATAACTTCTCAGTGTATCTGCATTGCTTTGGTGTAACTGTGAATGCATCCACAGACGGTTTTGGGAAGAAGTATAGACAGTAAGTCATTTTTAGCTCAACTTATCAGGAAGACAGAGCATATGAAATGATTTCATTGGGAAGAAAAATACACACTTAAAATATATACTCTGTTATTTAATTTCATTACATACTCAGCAATGTAAAAATAAATTCTTTGTGTGCTTAATATGTTTGTGTAATTTTAAATATCCTTACACAAACACACACCTCTACTCATACTGGGTGGTACAATGTAGTAGTATTTCTGCATAAATGCAGGTAAAGATGAAAATAAGTGGCCTTAAACTATATGCAGGACATGGATATGTCATTACTGTTCATGCCCTTCTGTCATCTTGCCCATTGTGTAAGATCCTGTGTCTTTATGAAGAGACATTCAAAGTCTCAATACAAATCACTTAATAATCTGTGGGCTGAAAATTTTCTTTTTGGCATACTTGTCTTGTATTCAAATGCCTCCATTTAATGGCAGGAAATCGTTGAGGGCTGACCAGGTTGTAGGCTTCCTAGATTTGCTTTAATCTCTGTTACTATATATGCCATAGGAAAACTAGTTTTATCTATGAAGACTTACAAAGAAGATACAAAATGCCTGTATGGGAGTATTTTTTAAAAATAGTCTTTTTGACAGAATAGATGTAAACTCACTGCTTGCACAGCTCTCCTTTCTGAGTGCACATGTGTGAGGATGGGAACGAGAGACGAGAGGATGAGGGCATCAAGAGCACACACTTTGCCTACATCCATTGTGGTATCCAGCGTACAAAAAGAGCATTCTGAATGAAAGACAAAAAAGTGCCACAGCCTAAGCAGCAAGTGGAAATTCTTTGGCAAACAGAAAGCACACGGTGCACTCCATTCTCAGAAGTGAAGAGGAGAGCACAGAGAAAGTGCTCACAGCTCAGAGAGTGTGGTGGCTGCTTATCTGACAGTGCTGAGTGTGTCTGTTACAGATACATGAAATTTTGCTTTATCCACCTGAAGATTCCCAACACAACTCCTTACTATTTATATTACCCTTCACAATTTACATTTCCATCTGTGCCGTATTTTCTGTACCAGCATCCCTGTTTGTGCAAGGACTGTTTCGGATCCTCGCATCATCTCGCTACCGAATCGCAATGACACCCCCTGCGCTTCGCCAGCCTCCACGACAATAACCAATTACCCCATTCACACGGCAGCTCCCTCCATTCTAAGGACGAGGCAGAGCCGTGCGGATCCCTTTCCGCGCCGTGCAGCCGCACGCCCGCCAGGTGCGCCCTGCCAGGTGCAGGCTGCGGGGAGCGGCCCAGCCCCGCACGGCCCCGATAGCGGTCCGGCGGAGCGCAGCGCTCGGACGATGGCCCGCAGAAGTGATGCTCCGCGGCCCCGCCGTAGGGAGTGCAGAGTTGTGGCGTCGGTTTCCTCTCACTGAAGGAGCAGAGGGGCAGGGGCGCAGCACATCCTCGGGAGAAGCACTTCGGACGCGGAGAGTGAGAGCTGACGGAAGGAATTTGGAAGTTTCTCTGCCTTTTTTTTTTTTTTTTTTTTTTCCCCTCCCTTCTTCCTCCTATTTAAATTGCCTCATTGTTAGCGGGTTGCCCTCGCTCCGGGTTACACCCGACGGGCGGAAAATAAGAACAGCAGCCGCCCCTCGCCCCGAAATGAATACCGATGTACTATTGACCAGTTCTTAGCGATTGCAGAAAAGCACAGATAGCGGAGTAAGGAGAAACAAAGCCACACGGGCGGGAGCTAGAGCGATGGCAGTCCCGAGGAAGTTGACTTTTGGCAGAGCGCTGACTCAGGTGCGCCTCGCGCCGAAGTTTCCCTGCAGGCAGCAGCACCCGGGGCCGCGAGCAGGCAACGCACCGGGACCCCCTTCGCTCCATGTCCCGGCGCGCACACGGAGCCCCCGGGACTGACGGGCCGCCCCACTCACTTGTAGGACCGAGCGCGCGGGGCAGGCACGCGAAGCAGAGAGAGTTCGCGAACCGACTCCGCACACCGACCTCGCTCCATCCCACCACCGCCACCCCCACGCTCATCCCGCGGGCAGCCCAGCACCGCCGGCAACCCGATACCGCCGCCCGCTGATTGGTCGAGCACGCCGACCCCGCCCCTCCACCCCCAGCCACTCAATCGGCGGGTCGGCCCGCCGGGCCGCGGAAAGTCGCCGTTGGTTGGTCGAAATGATCTGTCAGTCATGTTGAGGGACGGGCCGCCGCGGCGCAGAGGTCCCGCCCCCCCGCCCTCATTGATATTATCGGAGCGCGGCGCGGGCGGCTGGGCTGCAGTCGGGGCTCGCGGGCGGGCAGCCCGGTGCGGGAGTCGGAGCTGAGCAGCAGCGCGGTGGAGGAGGCGGGAGAAGGAGCAGGAGGAGGAGAAAGAGAAAGGCAGCTGGGAGGGAGGGAGCGCCGGGCCGGGGACTCGCAGTGCAAATTCGCCACCGTCCTCTCGCACCCACCAAGCGGCGGCGGCGGCGGCGGCATCTAGAAATAGGGAGCGAGAAAGATAACATTTCCCTGCACCATGGTTTTGCGAAGTCGGCTTCTTCCTTGGATTATGTTGTGCTCCGTCTGGCTGCTCCGCTTTGCACACACGGGGGAGGCACAGGCTGCGAAAGAAGGTAAAGGCGTGCGGAAAACTAAACTTTGGGCTTATTTATTGCTTTTCGCGACGAGAGGCTCAGCGGAGGGAGCCGCGGGCTGCATGTCAGCCCTGCGTTGCATTTATTTTTTGTATGTGCATTTTCTTCAGATTAGGAGAGAAACGAGTGAGGAATTCTGTGTGTGAGCGTGTGTATGAGTAACAGACCGGCACAACCGCTTTCGCTGCGGGGAATGAGCTCCGAGAGGCAATTGCACGTGATGGGAAGGGGAGACATCCCTCGGTCCGGGGCTCCGCACAGAGCTCTCCCGCAGCCTCAGCCCTCCGGGACGGGACGTTGCGGGACGGTTCCCCGCCGGGGCCCTGCGGCGCTCCAGGGCCGCGCGCGGAGCGTGAGAAGCGGCAGCGGAGTGCGGTGAGCTCCTCCGGGGGGTGCGTCCTGGCGTCGAGTGTCCGCAGCGCGTGTGCTTATCGCCAGCATCGCTGGGCAGCGGGGGGAAGGTTTAGGACTTGGTGCCTGACACCATTTGCGTATCGCAACGTGGCTTCCCTATTGCCATCAATCCAACGCTGTCGTAACGGTGTATGGCGAAGCCTGGACGTCGGTTTTCCTGCCCATCCCATCCCGCGCGCAGTTTGCTTTCGGAGAGCGATGGAGGTGTATGAAATCTATTCCCGAAGTCCGTCTGGGAGATTTTTTTTCCCATGTTGGGAAAATCCGGGATCGTTTAAAAGAGCGCCCTAGTAGCGTTTGACAATCAGGGATGAAGGTCCGTCTCCATCTTCACACGGGGGGTGGAACGAGGGGCGGGTGGGGAGGGAGAACTCGAGGGTGTTTTTTTTTTTTGGTTTTTTTTTTTTGGTGTCCCTACATAGGTACGCATCTGGGGTTTTTTCCCCTCTCAACCGGAAAAGTCAATATTTTCATCAAACAACTGGCACGCAGTAAAATCCCATTCCGAGCCTGAAGCTGAAGCATTAAAAAAAAAAAAAAAAATCCTTAAAATGTCCTCTGCCCTTAAACAGAAAAGAGAGATGGCGAGGTCAGAGAGGGAACAGGGAGAAAGCCTTCAGTAAAATTTCCGAAGCTGACGCGGAGGGGCAGGGATGCACCGAGACCCCCACGCGGGGGGCGGTCACGCGTGGCCGTGTGAGCAGGAAGGGTGCGGGCCCCGGGGCTGCGGCGGCGCCTCCGGTCGTCGGTCCGCTCCGTGTTCGTGTGCGGATGGGGATGTGAATGCATACATATACGTGTGTGCGTGTGTAATGGGTGTGCGCTTGGGGAAAATCAACGCAGCTGAAGGAGGGTCAGGAGGGGGCGAGCGGCGGACAGGGATTAATAGCGGCTACCTGCTGCGGGCTCGGGAAACTCCCGCGGAAGAAAGAGCGGGGAGAGAGCAGCGGGGAAGGAACTTTGCAGCCTCGCCCCCCACCTTGCCCGAGGGCTGTCCTCAGCTCAGCCCCGCATGGCTCCCACCGCTCCCCTCCGGGCGCGGAAGAGCGCTGCAGAGGGCGAGGCAGAAAAGTTTTCCGAGTTCCCTTTCTGCAGCTAAACAAAAGACGCGGGGAGATGCCGGAGAGGAGCGGGGCGGGGGCTGTCCAGCCCTCCGGGAGAGGGACTGACGGCTTTCCCCGCAGAGCCCTCCGCCAGCGCGGGTGTCCCCTCAGAACCTCCCACCTCCTGCTGCGAGCCCTCCGGGCTCCGCCACCCCTGCCGCTGTCCCACAGCCCGGCGGCGGGGCGGAGACCGCGGTACCGCTCCTCCAGACGGAGGCGCGGCCGTTTGCGCGCAGCTCCCGGAGCGTGTGCGCGGCCCTGGCTCCCCGCTGAGCCCGTTCCCCGAACTCGCACCCACCGGTTTTCCGCCTCCTTTCGACTTCCGAAGCGTGCGCGTCCGCGGTGTGCATCCCGCGTAGTCGCTGGAGGGGTGCGCGGAGTCGCCTCGCCGCTCCCCGAGCGCGGAGCCGGCGCTGCCCCCAGGCTGCGGGACGCGCAGCAGCTGCCCGCCGGGAAGGCTCTGCCCGGTAACTTTCGGTGCAACGAGGAAACGCAACGCTTTTCCTTGACGGGGGTATTTGCAGAGCAAGGCGTTTCACTTATTATAGTTTGTGGGTTTTTTTTTTTTTTTTTTTTCTGGGATGTGCCCGTTGCTATGTGCCGGTGAGTTGCTGCCAAATAAAAAGTGTAATGAATTGCAGCCGTGGGATATTGTGCTGGTGCTGAAAAGGTTAAGTCTTTCTCTTCCAGAATCATTAGATATGTTGTTGTTTAACAAACCACCACATACACCACCGGCTTTTCTGTAGAAAGTGTTGCAAAGTAAAGCCCCTTGGATCCGAGCTTAATGAAAAAAGCAGATCATCTTTCTAAGAGTGACTAAGAGACTTCCTTAATGAGTTGTTCTACTTTATTACTGAAATACAGGCCTGGAAGTTAGGGTTCTGTGTTCAGCTGTGTTCAGCTACAGTAGATATTGCTTTATGAACTTGTGAATGTGTATTTTTTTTTTTTTTTTAAGTCATGCTGTCTTTCCATTCATTGAAATTTTGTATGAAATTCTGTGAATTCAACCAATTCAAGAGACCTGACAAAAGTTGCATCATGTTGAAGCTGTAAATTGTGCATTGAAATACCAGCATTTAAATGCTGTAAGTAAAATTGTAAATGCTAAATATATACTGACTGTATTTAAATTAGGTACGCGACTTTTTTATTTACCAAATAAAAGAATGAAGTTAAATGTGCAGTCTTGAAGAGGGAATCTTCAAAGTGTACCAAGCCCTATTATGTGGCCAATCGCTCTACAGCTTCAACTGTGTGTAGGAAGATATTATAACAAATTATTTCATGTATGTGTATTTGATATCATGGATTAATATATGTGCCATTTGAATCTGACAGTAATATGCTTGGGAAGATGCATATAACTATAATTTAAATATAAAACATATCTAGAAATATATGTTTGGAGGTAATAGAACATCAGTAATATATCTTCCGAAATGTGCTGTGAAATAGTTAAGAGTTGGTTTATTAGGCTGTGATTAACCACTTTATGAAGCAGGGTTACATTTAGCTGCAAATAATTGCACTGCTGCCAGAACTGATGTCTTTTTGCAGAGGTGTCACTGGCTTATAACGACATGAAGATTTCAGTAAGCCATCACCATAAAGTAAATTGGTTGAATTTGTGTATGTGATGTGTGAGGTAATTGCAGAGTCTCTTATTTTCTTTATTCCTGGTTGTCATTTGTTTATAGAATTACTACTCTATCACCTAAAGGAAGTATTTTTTTTTTTTTTCCTTTCTTACTCCAAAAGACATTACTTTGCTGTGTAACTCCTGGTAAGGTACATACTAGCCCTGTCTGAATCAGTTTGGATAAGTGTTGAAATGCTGTTGTTTGTTTGTTTTAAGCTGTCTGTAATAGCCAACATATGGGGAATATCCTCATCACAAAGGAGATAAAGGGAGCATGCATATTAATGACTGATTATTAATACTTTAGGGCACGAGAAAAAACATTACACTTAGATGTAAGCAATGTGTTTGCTAAGAACGATGTATGTCTTCTTGTATGGGGATTGTACGTCATAATTTAATCATCTGTTTACAAGCAAGTGCATAGCTGTACTCGTAGCTGTTTTTCAATAACATGAATTAAAAAGATGTGTTCTGTTTTATCGTTTTTTAAATTCAGAATTTATTATTTGATTTTTGTATTACCACGTATTATATTTAACAAACAGTGAAGATGCCTTTCTTTTCCTTTTCTTTTTCAGTTATATTACTGGACTCTAAAGCACAACAGACAGAGTTGGAATGGATTTCCTCTCCTCCCAATGGGGTAAGTAGTCTCTACAAAAATTAAATTCATAAAGACAAGTAGTTATTTCACCAAAGCAATTGCAATACTGGCTTTAAATTAACTTTCCCTCATATTTCTCTTAGTAATTGTACCAAGTGTTTATGGATCTTTCAGTTTTAGAATGGAAATAAGTGTACCTCAGGTTACAATGTCCAAACGTTAGCTAATTAAAGAATAGAGTCTCTTTGGAAGTTCACGTAAATGTTTTCACTAGTTTCATCTTTTGTCACATAGACCTCTGTGGTAAACCAGAAAGCTCTTTATGTTTGTAACACAGTATTTTAAATCGCTTTTTTCTTCATCCTGTAGAAAGAGCAGACCTTCTTTTGTGTGGAAACTTTCTAAAAATATGTTTTTCATTTTCTGTATAATGGCTGATCATAAATTTGTTTATGATGTTTTCTTTGTAATTGAATAGCACAGATTGAAGTGCTCTGAAAAAAAACATTTATACTGCAGATGTGTTTGAAATGACATTCCAAATTTGAAACATCCCCAAATCTCAAGGAGCTTCATATCTGGAACGAGGAACCAATTATGTGGTTAAGGCCACCTCCAGCTTTCTTACAAATGAATCTCATGGTATTCCATGAAATGTACCATTGTGTAGTAGTACATCATTATAAAAAATGAGACGTTTAGAAACATCTGTATTATTGTTTTATTTATTGTATGCATAAACTTTAGAAATGCTGCTTTCAGCCTGAATTAGAAGTGATATAAAACCCCTTATTCCTCAAGTCCCGAGGAAGAAAGAACATTTTCAGAATGATACAGTGAGTATGTTGTCCTACCTTAGATCAGCCTGATAAATGATAAATTATATGGCTAGTTCTTGTTTGTGGAAGCAGTCTTGCAGCATCCATTGTGACTCTTTGCATGAACAAGGAGTCTTGCTTGGGGGATCAGGCCCTTAATCTTCAGCGCCTTAAGAAATCTGGAGCCAGAAGAGCGTGAAGTGTGAGTAGGGATATAAAAGTGTAACAAATCCTTTAAATAAAAAGAATGAAAATCTGAAAGTGTCTTTCTTTAAAAGCAAGATCGTAAAATCAATACAAGCATAAACTGGAAACAAATGTAAGAACTTCAGAAGAAATGTAATGTGAGCTCAACATTTATGATGGCTAATAACCTCAGCATTAGCATTTTGCATTGATTGAAGCTGCTACCAGAGGTGTTTGAAAGATTACGTTGGTGACAATTACATTAGGCTAACCTGTAGATAATGAAAGACATGTCAACACATGTTACACATGTCGGCATATTTAAAGGTGAAAGAAAGTAGAGTCAAATTCAACAAATGGCAAGAGGCTACTTTCAAAGGTAGAAGACAATTTCAATAAAAAATTAAAAATGAATTAAGGCTAATGACTGGATTTGTTTGCGTGAAAATGGTCAGAAGTAGTTGTCTGTGAATCAACATAGAAGTACCATTTCAAGTATGTAATTTTGATTGAAAATATTTACTTTTAGTTACTGTGTTGTCTGCTGTGCAATAAAGATTTCATGAGAATGAATTCAGAAAATACAGTTCTTGAGAGAAACTACTGCTTCAACAAAGTACAGATTATATCACCCAGACACTCGTTAAATGCCTCATTCAACTGCAAATGTTACATCTAACAGTGATCTCAAATATTGTTAAGATAACTAAAGAAGTTTAAGTACCATATATTGGAACAGATAGAACAGGATATGGTCAAATAGAATGGCATGCGTATCATTGTATGTGGAAGTAGGATAAAGCAGAATTGAATTTTCTTTCTGTAAAAGGCAACATGGAATTAGTCACTTTAAAAATACTAATGAGGTGTGAACTTACATGATGTAGGTGAAAACCTATCCTGAAATACTGTTGATTTCTTTTTTCTTCCATAGAGAAGCAGGTATGCCTCCAGTGGACCATTTGAAGTAATGGTTCTGCGATTACTGAATTAAGCCATAAGTCCTGTTTCCCTATTTTTTTTTTTTAAAGAAACACATATTCCATGGCTTTAGGAAAATTTGGAAGGCTAGACTGCAGCATTCAGTGCTAGAGATAACATAACGTAAATCTTTTAATTTGAATGTAGAGTTTTGTACTGTTTTTCCTTGACTGTAGCATTAAAGTATCCCTAATACCTACTAACTTCATTCAGTGGTGGGTTCTTGATTCCACAAACTCAATAATGTAGTTTTTGGAAAAATGATTTGATTTTTGTTAAATATACTTTTCTTGTATTTTTTTTGCTTTGCTTTGCTTTGGTGGTTTTTTGTTTGTTTTTATGTGGTAGGATCCCATCAAAGCTCAGAATCTGGTCAAATTCTGTTCCATGTTGAGCTTATGGTGCTCACGCTTCACAAATATAATGCTTTCTCTAACTGGAATGTCCAGAATCTGGCTCAGTGCCTTGAGAGAGAGCATCACCTAATGTACAATTGAGATTATAAAAATCAGTAAACTTTAGGCTTTGTATCTTTTTTTGTCATATTTGGGTTGGTATGGAGTTTGTTTGTTTATTTTTATTTTGTTTGGGTTTTTTATTCTTAAGTATGACAGTGCCCTGATCCCCATTTTTTTCCTCCCCTTGTTAGTTCTTAGAGGGAGAAAAGTGTTACACATTCAAATCTAATAAATCTATTGTAATGATGGATTTTTTTCTGTTCTGAAATGAATACAGTTCCATATGTAATCAGTGCAATTAACTTCATGACTTTTTAATATTTCAATATTTAATACCGCATGTATGAATTTATAATATCGTATGTACCATGTCTTTAGTAATTGTAGGTCTTTGAAATGCACTTTGATATTTACAACTTCTGTGCATTTCAGCATCTACAACCATGATACATTCTGTGGTGTTAATTTCCAGCATCAAGTCAGCCACATCTGCTTTCTCTTGGAGCATTGGAGCAACATTAAAATGATCTCATTTACTGTCAAATACGCTTGCAAAGTACTGTATACTGCATGGTTTCTAGTTTGGAAAATCAGTCTGGATAACCAACCTTTCACGCTTGGTTACCAGTGTGAGGAATGTCAAGGGGTGCTCCATCCTGCAGAGGTGCCAAGCATTCTAGTCCCACAGAACATTTAAGCACATGCTTACCATTAAGCTCATAAGTACTGTCATTGATCTTAAGCGTGAGCTTAAGTGCATTATTGACACAGGGCCAGAGGGCTAAGTGCCATAAGAAGTCATGGTTGCCTGTATCATTGGGTGAGGATAGTTCAAAAAAAAACCCTAATTTATTACAGCTGCAGTTTCTGCAGTATGTTAAGTGTTATAAGAAAAGTGTTATGAAGAGGTGAGAGATGGATATTGTTTTGGATGTACCTGTGCAAATTTGCCTGCTTGATTTCAGTGGGTTTACCATTGCTGGAGGTGCACATTCCAAAGTAACCGAACTCTGTTAAAGACTGCAGATCTGTTACACACTTACTGGTTTGTTTCACAGTTCTTATCCTAAGAGGGAATAACAACAAAACCCAAGCTTTGAACCAGTAAACTTTCAATCATGTGAGTTGTTCTTAATTGAGTATTTAATCTCATGGTTCATTTGAACACCCAGTCAACCGAAGTTCATTTCTTTTAACATGGATGCAGCCACTGAAAAAAAGTGAGGTGAGGAGCATCTGCTTACATGTGCTGGTTTCTGAGTAAAACAGAACATGGAGTGAACAAAAAGGGGACTGCCGAGGTGTTTTCTCACCTCCAGATTTTTAATTCTGTCAATTTTCTTGTTTTCTTCTCATGCCACTTTCCCTGTATACTGAAAATTGTATACCTGATAAGTTTCAGGAGCCTTCTGCTTTCTGTACACCAGAAAGCTCCACTCGGTGTTGTATACAGAAAGACTGTAACCCTAAGCAATTTGAGTTCCTAAGACTTCTCTGATAGTACATTTCCCTGGAAATGGAGCTACTTTTTAGTCTTTGCTTATGACTTTAATGAAATGTGGGAGAATCGAGTGTGGAGTTAGAGCTTGATATGCTGAGCAGCTTGCCTTTCCTGTAGCTTCACAGAATCACAGAGCTGTAGGAGTTGTTAAGGATCTCTGGAAGTTGTCTAGTCCACACCTCCACTAAAGCAGATTCACTATAGTAGGCTCTCCCTCGGAATTGGATCTTAGATGTGAATATGATTTTTGAAGGTTATTTATATGTGGATGGAGGGAGATCTTGTATTAATATCTATTTTCTTCACTTGAGTACTTAAGGATATTGTAATAATAGCCTATTTTTTATGATGTCTTACTGTTAAAAAGGAGTAGGACTTAAGTTGTGTGATGCTTTTTCAAATACACAATAGTTACATTTGGAGGCATCCTTGTTTTATATTACTAACTGTTTTTTATTGTTTTAGTGGGAAGAAATTAGTGGACTGGATGAAAACTACACTCCTATACGAACATACCAGGTATGCCAGGTCATGGAATCGAACCAAAACAACTGGCTTCGGACTAACTGGATTGCAAAAAGCAATGCACAAAGGATTTTTGTAGAACTGAAATTCACTCTGAGGGATTGTAACAGTCTTCCTGGAGTTCTGGGGACTTGTAAAGAAACTTTTAACTTGTATTATTATGAAACAGACTACGATACTGGCAGGAATATCAGAGAAAATCAATATGTAAAAATAGACACTATTGCAGCAGATGAAAGTTTTACCCAGGGTGATCTGGGGGAGAGAAAAATGAAACTTAACACAGAGGTGAGAGAAATTGGACCTTTGTCCAAAAAAGGATTCTATCTTGCATTTCAGGATGTAGGGGCCTGCATTGCTTTGGTCTCTGTGAAAGTCTACTACAAGAAGTGCTGGTCCATCATTGAGAACTTAGCTATTTTTCCTGACACAGTGACTGGCTCAGAGTTTTCCTCTTTAGTTGAAGTACGAGGAACTTGTGTCAGCAGTGCAGAGGAGGAAGCTGAGAACTCTCCGAAGATGCACTGTAGCGCGGAGGGAGAATGGCTAGTGCCTATTGGAAAGTGTATCTGCAAAGCAGGATATCAGCAGAAAGGAGACACCTGTGAACGTAAGTAGACATACAGCTTTTATAGTGTGCAGTACAGATTATATTGCACCATTTTGTTATTTCTCTGCAACAGAAATACATCGTCAGTCTGCTGTTAAAGTTTCAGATCCTCAGTCTGTTCTCTTCCTACTGGCCAATCTAAAGCAGTCACTTCTGGGTATGGAAATCGGTGCTTGTGTGCTGCATTTTACTTCATTTTTGTTTACAGTTATGCCTCATACAAGTTTTTAAATATAAATTCAGGACTAAAATTTTCAACAGTTTAAGGTGACATTCCTTGTACTTATTGGTACAGAACTTTACATTAATAATCTCTGAGCAATTCAACACCTTGTTCTTTCATATGGCCTGTGACAATTATAAGGAAATTGAAACTGAGAAAATAAATGTAGAATGAGGTGTGGTTAGTAATGGGAAGAATATATACACAATAAAATCTGCTTTGGAGATTTGCGTTGTAAGTGCTTACAAATTTAGACACAAAAGTATTGTTTTAGATCTTTCAAACAAAATATCATGTTTCCAGATTGAAGTATGTTTCCCTTTCTGCAGTATCATTTTGCATGAAACTGATGTGGAACTTTTCGCTTTCTAGGGGATCATGGTGAATAGTTTGAAATACTAGTAAATCAGAGACTATTGAGCTGTACTTTCTAATTAAAACTGATTTAGTTACACAGATTCTTAGAAAAATACTTACCCTTGGTGTTGCTGTCAGTGGGTCTACATGCATAAGAAGTTTCTGTGTACTTTAGAAAAGGATATTTTACTCTCTCTGCTTACAGTAAAATCAAGACAGTTTGTTTAAAGACTGATATAATTTTTTAAAATGTTTATGAAAATATATAATTCTTATCATAAGATCACACAAGCTATTTATGGTCACATTTTTATCGTAAGAGGCATGTTAGTGAGAAATGTTACGTGCAGGTTCACCACACCCACATACACTCCCAAACCTATGAAAAAGAAAAACCTACAGAATTTCAAAACCAAACCTGGCTGCAGTCACTAAACCTGAGATGTCCATGTAAGGACTTCAAATTCTGTAGAGGATTAGGGTCACCCTAAAGGAAAGTAAATGTGCTTATTATTAATAAGCTGTCATCAGGGAAAAAAACTATTGCGTTCCTGATGAGTTTTTTAGTAGGAAATTCTATACAAGGTGAAGTTGATCTGGGGCCTTTGTAGCCTCTCACAAATCTTTCATTGTTATGTTGAGAAAGGATGAGGGCTTATACACTGAAGAGGGTGATCTCATTAGGAATAATAGTGATGTGAAAAACTGCCCCCACAAAACCACTCAGCAGATTGTATTAAGGCTCTGTTAAAAATATTAACCAGTGTATCTCATTGAAAACTGTATTGAGTCTATCAAATGTTTCTTTGGAGTGACTGACTCTTTTTTTTCTTGATTACATACCTAGTCATGGTTGATGTAATGAATATACTAATTTTATTTCTCTTTAAACAGAAAAGAGAAAGTATCCAACTAAAGAGGCAATATATATACTGGGTAGCGGCTGAGAGGGGTGAGAGGTGGTGGTGGGGATAGAGAGAGAAAAGTAAGTGTTTGGTAACTGGAATTCAAGTAACTTATTTATTAAACAAGCTTCTTAATTTCTAACCACACTGATGTTGACAAAAGAATTAAATGATAACTTGTACTTGAGTATAGCAGTGTGCTCATTTGCAAGAACACTTCTCACTGTTGGCTTGCTTCCAAGGCAATTGCTAAGAGAATACGCTACACTGGAAGCAGTCCAGAGGATCATTTATAGAATTTTTTTCTTTTCTTTCAGTGGTCCTATTAAGAATTTGAAAACAAACTCTGCTCCATATTGAGGCAAGTTAATGTATTTGAGAGAGAAAAGGTGGGAGTCAGCCGCTCACCAAATGTGTGTTGCTGGCAGCACAGAGTCAGGCTGATCTGAGTGACTGTGGCTCACAATAGTAATTGCAGTCTGTAATGCTTGTTAGCCATGTCTGTGCTTGAGGATGTTATTAAATATGATCAACTATGTAGTGACCGATAATACAGCTGGCACACTGATACAGCGTCTGTTTTTTGTGACAGATATTGAGGGAAACTTATCTGAGCATTGACACTAATGCAGCTGGCTATCTGTTACTGTCAAGCTGTGTAACAGATCAAGCAGAGGCAAGTCAATGTGTGCTTCCTTAACCCAGAGCTTTTATAGCCTTGTCTGAGGGCTCACTTCTGCAAATACTTTGTACCTGGCATGCTGTGTGACTTCTTTGGGACTACTCATGGTAGAAAGCATTGTGCTCTGTCAGGACTGGCTGAAGTCTGTGATTCCTCTCTCACGCTTACTGTAGCTCACCTGAATTAATTTAACACAATAGGAAGGCCTTTTAAAGATACAGAATAATGCCTTATCTGTCTGCATTGTAGCAAAGATAGGAGTAGATGGCCACATTGTACTTCCAATAGCTCTTCAACCTGTAACTCAGTGGGGATTTTCATTTGTGTTATGCTGCCTTGATTGGCTGACTGTGATTGAAGAATGCAATCCTTTTGCATACAGCTTTTCTTCTGTATGTGAAATTTCTTGAATTCAGATACTAAAACAATTGCCTTTTGATTTATACTAATTCTGCACTGGATGTGCTGCCAGAACCCTTATTTTTGTTGTTGTTTTTGTTGCATTGAATGCAAGTAACTGGCAGAGTCTGGAAGAATAAGAAAGGAAGCAATCACGAGTGGTGAAATGCACCAGCTAGACACCAAACTTCCATTTGTTCATTCTTCAGTGTTCAATCTTCTAAGCTGAATTAATATCTTTTTCAGATGTACACTGATTACTTCTCGCTATTGATGCGCTTAGAATTCCATACCATCTCAGTGATCTATTGTAATAACACATACAAAAAAGAGAGTTTAACTCCATACAGCTCACAGTGTTCATGTAAGGCAAAATCTTAAAGCTTGTTATAGAAAGCATGAGAAAACTATATAACAGTATGAACTTTGCACTGCACTTGGTTTTGTTGTTTTTGCTTACATACAAGGATACTTTCTCCTCAGAGTTGATCGCGTCTGCTAGTTTTTGGAACTATACTGAGGTATAGAGATTTTACATTGTATGGAGAAGTACCTAGCAAACAAACCTGAAAGGTACTTAGCAAATCTTCTAACATCACCCACTGTGCCTGCTCCATCAAGAAACAAAACAAAGAAAAAACAAACAAACAAAAAACCCACCCAAATGCAATGCAATTTTCTCTATCTGTAGTGGACTCCCAATGGATGTAACTTTGGTTTCTTTCTCACAGTGTTGTCCAGTCAGTGTGTTGCACATATAAGGACCACACTGATATCAGTGATTGGTATGTGAATGAGAAAATGATTCCTTGAGAACCCCTAGTATAATGCATTTTTCATCTGTTTCATGTTAGTTGAATGCAGGATGGGAGAATTATATTTACGCAGTTGGAGCAGTAGAGTGATATTTCAGAAGGTAAGAAGCATCTCTTAATATGACTGAAGTGAGAAATTACATAGATGATTTAGGACCAAGTCCAAAAACACAGAATTTGAGGCAAAGCCAAAGTGTAAGTTTTACTATTAAACATCTTATAATACTAAAACATTAACAGTTGTTTTAGTGCCCCCTCAAATGGGGGGGGAGGGTAGAGGGGGAGGGATTATAGCTACTTGCACATTCTGTCTTTATGATGAAAAAAGGAAGCTACAGACTTTTCTTTCCAAACTTTGCCATGTACTGTACATTGTGCCAGGCTAAAAGCTCCATCTATTCCTTCTTTTTTCTTTTCGGGTCAGACTTTTATCTTTAGGCTTTGTGAAATATTACTTGATAACAAGGCAAATTCTGTTTTGGCATCTGTCATATTTATGGTCAAGTGGTGCTTTTTGTTATTGTTGGGTTATTGACTTTTTTAATGTGTATGTTTGTAGTTTTCATTTTTCCCTTTTAATATTCAGAAGCTGATGTTCCACGTGTTTGCTAGTAGAGGGCAATGAATTTATGGGGGATGTGAATGAGTTGTTAAAATAAGGGTTACCAATCTTCCAAAAAACCTGGGTTGCATGGTTAGGCCCAGGTAGGGTGTCCCAAAACCTGTGGATAATTTGCTAATGAGGTAGCCTTTTTAGACATTCCTGTTGCTACCATTTCTGTTTCACTTCATGGAGAAGTGACAAAATGGTAAAATGCATGCTGCTGGAGATGTTTTCTATCAAGACTCTAAATGTTTCTTTCTTGAAGAAGTGTTACCTTGTTTCCATTTGCCTCCGAAATTACTCTTGGGAAGATAATGTAAATACTCTCAGCAAACTGAACAAGAGTAAAGCATGAGGACATTTCTGACAGTTTTGCCATTTTCTCTAGAATGAAAGTTCAAGGGGAGAATGTCTGCCTCCTTTCTTTCTCCCTCCTAAGATATCAACTAGTTTTTCTGTCCTTTTGAAACAAATGTCACTGTGATCGGGTATCAGATCCCTGACACTACCACATAGAAACTATTGAATTTTTTAAAAATGCATAATGTTAAATATCTTTCCAGCAAATTCTAGCAAGATTTAGAAAAATAGAACATAAGGTGAAAGTAAGACCTTCAATCTATATGATCAAGAGTACAGAGTAGTTTTTACTGTTAAATATAGAGCTATGATCTTCACTTCAGTCCTCGTTTGGAATTTGTAGACAGTTAAGTGTCTTGATTTCTTTCACACTGGATCAACAAGCAGCTTTTCTAAAGTATGACGTGAACAGATGTGAGGTATAAGGTTGTGTTAAGTTGAACAAGAACCATACTGTAGAGACAGTTGAAACTGGTTAGCTCTCATCCATAGTGTCATCAGTGATGACATTAAATAAATCCAAATGAATAAACCGCAGAGATGCTGACTGATTAGGTTTCCATGAACTAGCTGGTTTGCTCCAGAAGAACTGACAGGAGTGAAATACTGTATGCAGATGGGCTATCAGGAGCCCAGAAGAAGCAAAATTGTAGGA